CACATTCGTATTTTAGCCTTGTATGTTTCATCTCGTGGCCCGGAGCATATCGGGAATCATTATAAGCACTCGAGCTTAAAGCAACTTTTGGATTCTGCATACAAAAGATTCAGCCTATCACAACGCATATAATTTAGCCAATCAGATCTCTTCCTTATCGACTATTACAAACATGTAATATATCCTCTTCCCGCCTAAATTCAAGAATGCACCATTCCCCTATAAATTGAGAATTTGTCCTTGTACTTGTCAGATGCTGTTTTATGTTAGTGTAATAAACCTCGTTACTTCCTCAAGCCACTGTTATCTCGCCTCCGTTATCTCTATCCACCCGAATCTCTTCTATACATGTCTACACATTTCTTTTATCGCAGGTCAAAGGAATGCATCCGTTTCAGTGTTGAAATCAAATTAAAAGAAAATATTTTTATTTTATAGAACCAACATTTTTTTGCAATGAATCCTCTTCATAGCAACCAAAGATATTTCATACACCTGAAAGAACGTAAATGAAACCTTATCCTTTTCCGGAAATATATTGCCAAAAGCACAATCCATGACTGGAATTATGTTACCTACGAGGGGCCTAAAAAACGCTACTCCCCGTACCACTTAATTATCTAACCTGCATTTCGCGTTGAACAAGAACAAAGACGTTAACGTCGAAAAGTGTGGGATGCTCCACCAATAATGAATATGTATTTTATAAAATTATCTAGTATACATATTATTTCTCCTGGACGAGATTAAATATGTTAAAAATAACGTTTTAGGCTGCACTTTCATGTCACAATATTGACGTTGCATGTATGGGTAAGAATGTGAATACAGACACATATACCTATGGCCGTAGTGTTGCATACTTGTTCAACTGACATGAATTTGTTCCTAGTGGGTTTGAATATTTCGTTTTGTAATATGTTCCCTGTTTCGAGAATATTAGTAAAACCATCATATCGACAAACGAACACTTCTAATTCATACTACATGTATTACTAAATGATGAATATCATGGAAGTATCGCATTATTCTTGCTGTACTGTCTCGCCTGGATAAGACGTGAATCGTTCGGCAGTGAACTCGCAACGGAGCTTTTTTCGGTAGCACGTGCGTCATCACGTGCCTATCATCAGCAGCAGTTTGCTTTTGTCATCCGCTAAAGTGAATATTTATTTGATTATACTATGTTTATGCAGTGGGGTTCATAATGTATTGTTATCCCATTTCTATGTGCTTGGCACTCTTACTTCCAGCGAGTGATAGGAATACACTGCGGAATAATATATCCAATAATTCGAGCCGATATATTCAACAAAATCAAGCAATTTCCAAAGCGTATTCGTCTCCTTTAGTCTAAACTGATATGACATGTTAATTACAAATATTTTTGGGCGTGTGTCAATCAGAGGATCAATTACAACTTACAAAGATAATACATTTAATAAACACCAAAATATTAATTACACAACACAAGTTGCATTTATAATGCGAGACATCGTCAACTGACAGACATGTACTAATCATTGATTGTGAATGATTAACGGAGTAATATGGATTTAAAGTTAAATTATACTTTGTAAACAATATGCACCTAGTTATGAGATTGTGTTTGTCCTTAAAGGTAAGCAACATTTAGATATGTTTGTTTGTTTAAAAGATTATACCCTACAGTACTCTCAAAATGAACTTGAAAGAATACCTACTTTTAAATTTATCCAATTTTGTTTAGCGAGAGCAGCATAATTTTACCAGATGTTAAGTATTTCCACATAAACCAATCTGTTTCATATATTAAATCCAATCGTTTCCACATAATATAAAATCAATCTGTTTCACATGAACTGATCTGTTTTACATTAACCAATTATTTGTTTCACATGATCCAATCTATTTCGCATTTGCCATTTTTTTTTCGTCATACACCAATCTGTTTCACATGAACTGATCTGTTTTACATTAACCAATTATTTGTTTCACATGATCCAATCTGTTTCGCATTGGCCATTTTTTTTCGTCATGAACCAATCTATTTCACATGGACTGATCTGTTTTACATTAACCAATTATTTGTTTCACATGATCCAATCTGTTTCGCATTGGCCATTTTTTTCGTCATGAACCAATCTGTTTCACATGAACCTAACTGTGTGTATAGGTTTGAAAGAATTAGTGAGTAGATCCAGTCCTATCAAGTTCACGTGATTTATCTCCAGCTGTGAAACCTGCACCTGTTGAGACACTCACATATTCATCACAACACTGCGATTTCGAGGCAACATCTTACTACTTTTTTATATGAGAATAAAACAAAAAATAAACGACATGATTTTCATACGAGCATCGTCCGATGCTATACGACTCGACGTTTTCCTCGCATGAACCTCGTCCGACGGTATCTAATTCCTGTTACCTACGTACATTTTGTTTATTGGTTGATCCGGTTGTGTTCCGTAATGCATCTGTATTCCTGCAAATTCATCCAAACCAGTGTAGGATGGGTAATGTATTGTATTGTATTGTAATGTTGAACATTCCAGTACACAGCATCAAATGGTCGAATGTTTCTACCAGCTTGCCATCGCTGTTGCTTGAGACAACATTCAATCTACCATCGCCCGATTTTTTCTATTGAAAGCACATCTTGGTTAAATCTAATTTCAACCCGAAGTGTAGCTGTGCAAATATTGATGTACCTTTTTTTCTGTGGTATGAACGGCGGCCATTCCTTGGCAAACGGAAAGTCTGAGAAGGATAACATTTCTTTGCTAAAATTGGTAACCAAAGAATCATAGCTGGCTGCCATTTGTTCTTGTCGTAGTTCGTCACTGTAATACCAAATACCACATATAAAAATACAAGTACATTAGACTAGCATAGAAAATAAACACATGATTATGGTCGGGTATTTTAACCTCTGCAATGGCCACACTGTTCGGACATGAATGTGGGAATAATGTGTATACATTTAAAGAAAGGTACAGGAGTTACGGTGAACTTGAAAAATCATTACATTGCAGCATAATGACTTGTATGGAAAAATCACAATCCAATTTATGGAATAAAACACAAATTAAACGAATTAGCTAATATTGAAACTTGCATATTTTAAGCATATTTCATGTTCATTCATTTAATTTGTCGTTAAAATTTCGAATGGTTAGTTCAATTTTTGAAGCATTGCGTCAGGACAGTCATCGTTGGTGGCGCTGAACAGCTTTGACATTTTTGGTGGCTAAGGTAGATATTGTTTTAGATATTATTGATATGGTCTTGAATCTAGTATCCAGTTTAGTGTGACAAGAAGTGTGTACAGTATTCTTATTATCATGATTGACAGGTTGCAAGTCGAGGCTGAAAATATGTTGTTGTAGTGTTTTATAATCAATGCTTGCGATTGAAAAATATGATGTTCACTATATCCGTTTGCGTGAAGTTCTCTAAA